TTGAAATTGCTTACCGTGCCGCGTACGGAGTTGGAATCATTAATTGTGGCTTCTCACTGCTATTGAGAACTTGACCATTTACATGAATCTTCCTTAACTCTCTCTCTCTCTCTCTCTCTCTCTCTCTCTCTATCTCTATCTCTATCTCTATCTTTATCTCTGTATCTCTATACTAGAGGCCCAGTGCACGAAATTTGTGGGCGGGTACAGTCCCTAGGCCTGGCCTTCGATCAGGGTCATCTTCCCCAGGTGCCCACAGCTGGCCCCGCCCCCCCGCTGCCACCCACCCCTGATTCCCCTTTCGCCATCGGGTGATCGGTGCCTGACAGCTGGGGGAAGGGACTGAGAAGTCAGCTGTTCCCACCTGCTCACAGGCCCCGCCCCCGCCGCAGGTTGCCCACTGTGTGGGGGCGATCGGCGGGGTGGGGGCCTTGGCCTGGCGCTGCCCGCATCCCCCGCCACCGACCCCCGTTCCCCACTCGTCATCAGGTGATCAGAGCCTGCCGGCTGGGGAAGGGGACCCAGAGGTGGTCAGTGCACCTCAATAGTGACTGGTCCAGCAGTCGTTCTGCCTTTAGGGTCAATTTGCATATTACCCTTTTATTACATAGGAATAGAGGCCTGGTGCATGGGTGGTGGGGAACTTGGACCATTTACATGAATCTTCCTAAATTATCTTTCTCTCTCTCTCTCTCTCTCTCTCTCTCTCTCGCGAGGGGCCACGGTATTCTGGTCTTCGGTCATTCTGGTTGTGACGGCATTAAGGTTGCTAGCTTTTTATATATGTAGATCTCTATCTCTATCTCTATATCTCTATCTCTATATCCATCTATATACATATACATATGATATGTTTACATTATTGCTATGATGTTCTCTACTTGTCCCATGGTTTCTCTATTCCCTTCTCTTTCTACTTCTGCCTTTTATCTTAACTGAGTATTTTTTGTTTCCATTTCACCCCAGTTATGGACTCATTAGCTTGGCCTCCTCTTCTGTATTCTGAGTGAGGGCTTCAGGGCAGAGACTCTCCGCCTCAGCACCAATGCCGTCCTGAGCCAGATCAATCCTTGCTGGGGGCCCGGGCCTGCGGGACATTTAGCTGCATCCCTGAGCTCTGCCCACTGGGTGCCCACAGCACCCCACGGGCTCTCCTGCCACCCCCACCCGCTGTGCCAGACAACGTGGCGAGGAGGCTCGCTCTGTCGAGGACCTCACAGGCCCGCAGGAGAAGAGGGCAAATGGCAAGCACATTTTCATGAAAGCCTCCGAAACGAGACTTTACAGTTCACGGTGGCCAAGGCCAGGGACACACACTCCTCTGTAGAGCCACCGGCAGGAGGTTCCAGGGGACTTCGCGGCGGCCGGCTGGCCATGTCGGGGGTCCTGGGGCTGGTGGGCGGGTTTTATGCCACCGGGAGACTTCCACTTCCGGTTTCCTTCGGACGGCGCTCTGGGAGACATGGTCTACCTCGAAAGCAAACTGCTAACTACATCAGAGGATGGACGCATCGGTGCCTTGTCCTAAATGGAAATGTGCAATAACCTGCACCGAACGTGGGCTCGCCAGGGCTCACAGCCCCCGGGAGCAGCCCGAGCAGGCGTGGGGCCGCATTTCTGCCCCTGCTGCCCCTGCTCCAGGAACTCAGGGCCTCTCCCACTGGACCCTGGGCTGCCATTTCTGTCTCGAGAGAATAGGCATTTCCAGGCACAGAGATGTGGGCCCCAATCCCCCCCGTGACATGGTCTTAGCAAAGCCTTCAGAATACTGGGCCGCAGACGGTGGGGCAGACCAGGGGCTCCTGCACCCTGCAGGGGGGACCTCCAGCAGGCGGTGCCTTAGGACAAGGGGCCCCGGAGCTCACTGGCCTTGGGGTGCCTGTGGCTGCGAGAACCAGAACTTCCCTGAGAGCGGCTTCCCCAGCCTGGCCGTCCGCTGGGACAGGGGGCGGGAGGCAGGGGCGCAGGCTCCGCCCAGCAGCTCCCGAGGCCACCGAGGCTACCGAGGGATCTGCAAAGAGGCTCTTTTTTCCTAACAACCTCAGGAGCATTTTTATCCCGGGAGAAGGTGGTGATGGGGGCCGGGCTGGTTAGGCAGCCAGCAGTGCTCTGTCTCCTAAGCCCCCAGAATGGAAGCTGGTGGGCAGAGCGGCCTAGAGACACTCAGCTGCCTTCACAGGAGGGACAGAGCATGAGGAGCAGGGAGGAGGGGGCGAGGGGACAAGAAGGTGAACCGGTGGGAGCTCCCGGACACTCCCGGAGGAGGGGCGCGTGGTTTAGCCACTTCAGAGAAGCTGGGCTGCATGTACTGGAAGTGGTCACTCCTCGGCTTCGTGACCAGGCAGCTGCCAGCTGGCCACGGACGCAAGGGAACTGCGTGCACGTGTCCGTAAAAGCACACCCACCGCCAGGCTTTCTTATCTTCAGTCCTGAAGCCACCCATCCTCCCGCGGAGGTGTCTACTGCCCCACGGCTGGCGGCCCGGGTGCTCCTGTGGGGGCCACGGGCACCACCTCATCTACACGGGGCTTCCTCCAGGGGTAGCAGCAACACAGACTTGCCACTTGCACACGGAAATGGCTCCGCTTTGCCATTTCTCATGGGACACACTTCTGGTTTTATACCCAAAGCTCTGGGGGGGGGGGCTGGAGGTGTGTCCATCATCCCTCCCCTCTTACCCAGGGGTTCTTTCTTTCGGGGCTTCAGCTTTCTGCAGATCCCAGTTCCCCTCCCATAGCTCTCCTGGCCCGGCGCGCACACCCTGTCCGCACACAGGCCCTGCAGTTCCACCCAGAGACCTCTGGGGCAGGGGTCCTCAAACTTTTTAAACAGGGGGCCAGTTCACTGTCCCTCAGACCGTTGGAGGGCCGGACTATAGTTTAAGAAAAAACTATGAACAAATTCCTATGCACACGGCGGCGGCAAAAACACCCGGCGGGCCGGATAAATGTTTTCGGCGGGCCGCATGTGGCCCGCGGGCCGTAGTTTGAGGACCCCTGCTCTGGGGGCTGGACCTGTACTAAACCCGCAGATCTGCGCTCCAGCTGGTGCACAGGTGCCGGCTCAGGGTCACTACAACCTCAACTTCACCTTCACTCCCGGCACCTGGTATATCAGCGTTTATATTCAGCCGTACACGTAGTAGGCATCTTCAGTGGTAACATTTTCATATTCCAGATACTCCGGTGGGCTCAGGGCTGACAATGGGGAAGAAAAGGAGCCACGAGGCCTGGCTGTGGATAACAGTTCCTGTAGGGAAAGCACATATTTGCCACAAGAGCACCCAGTCCACGTGAAGTTGGAGTGTGACAAGTGCTGCTCAGAAGTACATGGGAGCCTCGACCTAGTCACAGGGAGCAGACGCGGGCTCCGCAGGAGAGAGCCCGTTTCCGACCAGGGGAAGGGCAGGTGCTTGTTAGCTGTCCTGGGAAGAAATGGTCCTGGGGCAGCTCAGGTGTCAGGGCCGTGAGTCATGCTGGAACAGGGAAGGTCCTCCTCCACTGTGTGTGGCCCCGGGAGGGCAGCCACGTCCCAGCGTCGCCTGGTGGAAGGTGAGCTGAGCCCATGGGCGTGGAGGCAGGTCAGGGTCATTGCTGGGACAGCCAGTCTTGACTCTGTAAATATATGAACGGACGTGCGTCCTGGACCGGAGCATGGTTATCCCCTAGCTGTTCTTCCTTCCTGGTAAATTCTCTTTATTAGCTACAGGCTGGGATTTGCTGAGCTCTGGGGATTGAGGGCCCAGACTTTCATGTCTTTGGGATGGGAAGCCAAGTGGAAAGTGTCCCCTATCCCCAGGGCCAGAGTAGTGGTGGCCTTGGTGACCCCACAGGCGGAGACTCTCCGGGGTCAGTCTCTGGGGAAGCTTGGTGGTAGATGCACAGCCCAGCAGCCTTGAAGGAGAGGGGGGTGGCCAGTTCTGAGCCCACACGGGACGCAAACAGGAAAACAGCTGTGAGTGATATCAAGAAAAGAACCTTCCAGAAATCCAACCCGGAGCAGACTGATGCATGCTAATTGAGCCCATGAAGTAACAGTGATTTCACGCAATAGTCACGGGCAGGTAAGGCTAGACCAGGGGTGGGCAAACTTTTTGACTCAAGGGTCACAATGGGTTCTTAAACTGGACCGGAGGCCGGAACAAAAGCATGGATGGAGTGTTTGTGTGAATTAATATAAATTCAAAGTAAACATCGTTACATAAAAGGGTACGGTCTTTTTTTTCTTTTTTAGTTTTATTCATTTCAAACGGGCCGGATCCGGCCCACGGGCCGTAGTTTGCCCACGGCTGGGCTAGACCCTGTGTCGTAAATGCCATCCTTTGTAACAGTGGAGGCTGGCCCACTGAGGGCCCTGCAGGTGTGGCGGGAGGTGGCCGTCTGGTCTGGATGTTGGACTCACTCGCCGGATGCTGGGGTTAGCCAGAGGAATTTTAGTCCCTTGTCCACTCGGAGAGTAAAATTAATCGAGACAGAAGCAAAAGTGTGTGGAGCCAATTTATTGAACGTCTGCTGATGGTCAGCAATTTGCTAAGGCATGTTACATCACCTCAAGGAAACAAGCGAAGCAGCCACTCTTACCCCCAGGTTACAGAAGAGGAAACGGAAGCTCAGATTTCAAGAGTCTTTTTCAAGATCAGCCAGTGGAAGTGGCCAGCGGGTACTCAACTGTAGATGCTTCCCTTCCAAAGAGTTTTTTTCCCTCCAGTTTTTTAAATTTATTTATTTCAAGAAAAATGATTTTAAATATAATGTTATATGCAGTAAACCTTAATATTTCAAGAAAAATGACCTTAAATATAATGTTACATGCAATAAACACCAATTATTCAAGAAAAATGATTTTACATATAATAATACCTGAGGCCCAGTGCACGCGATTTGTGCACAGGCGGGGTCCCTAGCGGCTGCCGGCCAGGGCCTCCCTTCCCCCAGCTGCCTGCCGCCACTGGAAGGAGCAGGGCCGGCTGGGGAGAGGGGCCACGGCGGTTGGCCAGCCCCGTCCCCTGGACAAACTCCTGGTTGAGGGAACAATTTGCATATTAGGCTTTTATTAGATAGGATTACATGCAATAAACATGAATATTTCAGGAATATCCAAAGATTCTTGAGTTTGCAGGAAAGCAGTGGAAATATTTGGTAAAGGGATCACTGGATTCATTCATTTTCTTCTTCAAGAAGCTATGGTCTTGCTAGAATTAGTCCCTGGAAACGCCAGTGGGAGAGAGCATCGGGCACAGAGGGGGTCAGCTGGTCCTTGAAGCGGCCTCTAACTGGAGACTGTGTAGTGGCTTCTTCAAGCAGCTGTCACTGCTGGGGACACTGCGAAGAAGTAGCCAGGACTGGTGGCACCGCCACAGAACCACCAGCTGACTCGGAAACTCCACTCAGGAGGAGAGCAGTGCATTGCTCAGAGTTAAAAGGAGTCCAAGACTGATGGCCCCTCCCTCTCGAGTCCCACAGAGACACATGACTTCTGTCCACCCCAGAGACCTTTCCCCAGGAAAGAAGTGGACTGTATCCCCAAGAGCTCACGTCTGAGCAGCTCTGGCCCTGGAGGCCCTCTGGGGAGAAGGTGATCCTATCGGACCCTGGCTCATTCCAGACTCTCCCTGACAACCCACAGGACTTTTCAGGATCTGCCTTCAGAGCTGAGCTCAGAGGTAAAGGACTGCATATGCTCAGAGCCAGCCAGGCCCTCCCTCACAGGTTCCCATCTGACCCTTCATTCTGCACACGAGGAAGGCCCAGAGAGGGCAGTGACCTGTCCAAAGCCCTCAGTGGACCGGAAGCTGGTTTGGGATTTGAGCTTAGGTGTCTGCTATTCACAGGCAGCTCAGTATTCGGAAGGGATCCAGGCAGCTGAGAGCACAGAGGGCGAGGGGCGGTGCTGCTGCGGAACTAGGGACGAGAGGACCCTAGTGCATCCTGGTGGCAGGCGGCCTTGGGGTCACGGAAGCTATGCTGATGAGCTCGGAAACCATGTTCTTCTCTGAGCCTGGGCTCCTCCTCTGTAGACTGGGACAAGAAATGCTGCCTGATTGGCCACAGGCCTGTGGGAGGAGCAACTGCTAGTCAGAGCGGCTCACATCTGAGCAGAGCTTCCCCTTGCCCTGGCACGTTCCCAATCATTTAATGCTCACAGGAAACCGTGACGTGAACGGGATAGAGGCACGTGGCCAATTCTGGATAGAAAACCGAGTCCAGGCAGGAAAGTGATCCTGTAGCGCAGTGGTTCTCAACCTTCCTAATGCTGCGACCCTTTCATACAGTTCCTCATGTTGTGGTGACCCCCAACCATAAAATTATTTTCGTTGCTACTTCATCACTGTAATTTTGCTACTGTTAGGAATCGTCATGTAAATATCTGATATGCAGGATGTATTTTCATTGTTTGCGACTCACAGGTTGAGAACTGCTGCTGTAGCAGGTCTCCTGGCTGGTCGGGGGGTAGTGCCAGAATCTACACCCCGTTTTCCTGGCCTGCAGGGCAAGGAGGCCTCCCCGGGTTGCACTGGTGACCCTTCGCAAAAGGTTTCCCCACTGAAAAGGGCTCTTCAAAGAGCAGAAAGCAGTCCGACTCAGTGGACAAAACACTGGTTTTGGAGTCAAAGCCATTGGTTCACACTCTGAAGTGTGCATGTAGCTTTGGGGCCTGGGGCTGGTTAAATGCTTGGTCCCTGATATTTACCAAGAGCCGCCCCTCATCCTCCTGTCAAGGGAACCCCAAATGGAATCACCCCACAGGGCTCTTACCTGTTGGCTCCAGGGCGGCCATTTCTCAGTTTAGCGACAAAGTGCTCGCAGTTGCGAAATAAAAATAGTCATTCCAGGTTTCACCAATTTTCTTCTTCGCCAAATTGACAATGTCATGAACAGGCCGGGGTCTGTACTTGCCATCCAAGAAGTTGTTGACCTTGTACGTGTTATCCCCTGCCACTTCTTCCAGAGGTTCACGTTTCACCGTGTCTTGTAATACTACATAGCCATGTTCAAGGTCGGAAGAGCTAGACCCGGAGGACTCACCTGGGATCACAGAGAGACTAAGCTGCTGCCATGCTCAGCAGTGCCATGTTGGACAAGGAGGGGAGAAGAGAGGACGTCCCACTACTGACATCTGAGGTCACTGTCCCTTCCTTCTACTACCATTCCCTCTTGCTGGAAGTTAAATTTAGCAGGAGTGCAATTGTTTCATCCACACTTTTGTAACTTAACTACTTAAGGCTCTGTTGCCCACATGTTCCCACAACAAATGGCAACTCCATCATAACTTAGAATGGGTGCCATGGGATTCCACTGATGTCAGACTTTGATGCATTTAACAAATGTCCAATTGTTGGGTGTTTCAGTTGTTTAAACTTGTCTTTGATGATACACAATGATATCATAACAATACTTGCAGATGACGCATTTTTGGGCATGGGTCTGTCTCAGACACATTTTTGAGTTTTTTGGAATCTACCTGGAAGAAGCCAGTCTCAGCTGATTCTCTTACAACCCCTCCCAGGTGATAACTTATCTCCATTTCACAGAACCAATTTTGAGCCAGAGAACTTAAGAGACAAAAGTTGTGGAGCAAGGATTTGAAAGAACTCCAAAGGCCTAGCGGTTTCTACTATTGTGTAGAAACTGTGTGCTCCATGGCAAGAGGGAACTTCTCATCATTTTCTTACGTCCTATCACCTGGCTTCGTTCTGGACACTTAGGAGAGAGTCACAACAGAATTGTCAACTGATGGAGTCCACATTCCATTCCTTAGCGAGTAAAGATCTGACATGTCATAGTTGAAAAGGAAAAGGATGCTATTACCACAGGAATGAGTTCTCTTTTGTTCCCTTTTCTCAACATAAAGCTGGTGATTGAACAAATAATTCATCTTTACCTGTGTTCACATGAATCACAAAACCGTCTCCCACATAGATAGCCCAGTGCTTGTAAACATCTCCAATCTGAATCAGGTCTCCAGGTATTGGGTCCTCGCTTGACTACAACAGAAAAGCAGAGAGAGTGTAGACAGATGGTAGGAAGCAGCAGAGATGGGGCTGGAGAGCTGCAGACTGCTCCCTGCCACTCAACACCTAGTAGCAACCCCGGGAGAGGAGCCTCCGGGACTGCTGGGGTCACCAGCTTTGCTGTCACTCAGAGAAGCCCCGTTGGGGGCAGGAGGGACAGGAAGCCTGGACACAGTCGGGCTGAAGCCTTTCCTCTCGGGGCCCTAGCACTTTGTCCCGCCCCATTGCTGGGCATTAGCGTGGCTCTCATCTTCTGCTCTGACACTTCCACACCCTGAGTCTGACTGCAGCTGAGAGACTGCACCCCCCGCCCCAGGGCTAGCCAGTTCCTGAAGATCAGCTCACAGCAGCCCCTTAAATGGTCTTTTCAAGGCCAATGAACCAATGCAGAGCTCACTGCAGGCCACTCTCCACCTACCCAATGCCCCCAGGTCCAGGTACAAGTCAACCAGAGACAGCGCCTCTGCCCCAGAGCCTGCAGAAAGCATTCTACCAGCAAGTCCTAAGCCTGCTCACCCGCCCCAGTCCCTCTTCCCACAGACACCACCGGCCAGGCTCTTGCCCTTAGCTCTTGTCCAGCTCTTCACCCTCGTCCCTCTCACCCTCATCCCTCTTCACCTCCCTGTCTCCCTCCCCACTTTCTCTGCCTCCTCCCCAACCCAGTGCTCCCTCATGTGGCCCCAAGTGGCGGCCATGCCCCCTCTTCTTGGGAGCTGGGAGTCACAGCTGTCTCCTCCTCTGCAATCCTCTCCTGACCGGTTGCCTGACTGAACCTCCACGAGTCTATTAAGATGCAGGAGTGAGAGCAGGTTGTCCATAGCGGTGCTGAGTAGCCTCCTCCTCAGACTCTGTCCCAACCTCTGGGCACTCATTCATGGAGACACAAACTTAAGGCTCCTCAGGGCCACACTGTGGGCACATGGGCCATGCACCCTCCCTGGTGGCGACCACATAGCTGCCAGTGGGACTATTCCATCACAGGCACCCACTCAGCCAACAGCACCTCAGGCTCAAGGGCGCAACAAGTCCCCACTCCTGGGTGTGGGCACGGGGACTGGTGAGGTTGAGGGACTTACCCCAGATGGCTCAGCCAGACAGCAGTCAGCCCTTCCCGCTCCCACACCCGCCCGCAGTGGAGGCTGCTTTTCTCCACGTTCACACGCCTTCCCAGCGAATGAGTGTCCACCCCACAGGGCATCCAGTCCCATGGGATGAAGCCTGCTCTGTCCCTCTGCTCGCTCTGTGCCCTTCCTTCTGGCGTCACTCAGCCCAGCTTGCTAATCAGAGGCCTAGTCATCCTTCCCTCCTCCTTCTCCCTCAGCCCCATGTCCAAGTACCAAGTGCCTTCAATGCCATCTTCTTCCATCCCCCTCCCTCTAACACGGGTCCAATTCCTCCCACTCCTTATCCACTGGTGTTGTCCAGTGGGACCTTCACAGGGAACATCGGGCAATGACCTACCTAGACCCTCAGAATGCTGTCCACACCCTTTAGGCAGCTCATGGTCCAGCTCTCACCTGCATCCCTCTTCACCCTCATCCTTGTTCACCCTCATCCCTCTCACCCTCATCCCTCTTCACCCTCATCCCTCTCACCCTCATCCCTCTCACCTTCATCCCTCTCACCCTCATCCCTCTAACCCTCATCCCTCTCACCCTCATCCCTCTCACCCTCATCCCTCTAACCCTCATCCCTCTCACCCTCAGCCCTCTCACCCTCAGCCCTCTTCTTCTCCTCTATTCTTCTCTTCCTGAGCTACTTGTGTTTCCCACCTCATGCTCTCTCTCTCCTGCTCCTTTGACGCCATGTTCTCTCTCCCTCCTACACCCTCCGTGCCCTCCCCGTGTGACACACACTCTCCTCCCAGCAGACAGTCTCTCCTCTGGAGCAATTCACTGCCCCAGGCTGGACCAGCTGCCCCTCCTCTCTGTGCACAGATGGCTTTGATACAACTTTCTGTGCCTCTCTACCAGCGCCTCTGGTTTGGGATCTACGGGGAATGGTAAGAGCAGGAATTGAGGACCAGCCTGCCCAGCACCTCTACACTTAGGACAAGGCCAGATCACTGGCCCAGACACACTTGGGTGAAGGGCCTTGAAGAAGGTCTCCCGGCTGGGCAGCCGCAGTGTGAGACCGGACTGGCTGTCCGTGACTCTCAGAGCACTGGGGCCCACAGCACTGTTCTGGGATGAGGATCCCTTGGAATGTACTTCCAGACTGAAAGGTGCTCTTCAGGGACGGATACACACAGGTTCACTCCTCACCTCATGTCTGACACGTTGGAGAAGTTGCCTGAACTCTGTGTCCCCATGGCTGATGGTCAGGACTTAGTGAGCTGACAGCTCTCACATGCTGGGCTAACATTACTGTGAGAACCAATACTGCAGCATCACTGTGAGAACCAATACTGCAGCATCACTGTGAGAACCAACACTGCAGCCTCACTGTGAGAACCAACACTGCAGCATTACTGTGAGAACCAATACTGCAGCATCACTGTGAGAACCAACACTGCAGCCTCACTGTGAGAATTAATACTGCAGCATCACTGTGAGAACCAACACTGCAGCATCACTGTGAGAACCAACACTGCAGCCTCACTGTGAGAATTAATACTGCAGCCTCACTGTGAGAACCAACACTGCAGCCTCACTGTGAGAATTAATACTGCAGCATCACTGTGAGAACCAATACTGCAGCCTCACTGTGAGAACCAATACTGCAGCATCACTGTGAGAACCAACACTGCAGCATCACTGTGAGAACCAACACTGCAGCATCACTGTGAGAACCAACACTGCAGCATCACTGTGAGAACCAACACTGCAGCCTCACTGTGAGAATTAATACTGCAGCATCACTGTGAGAACCAATACTGCAGCATCACTGTGAGAATTAATACTGCAGCATCACTGTGAGAACCAATACTGCAGCCTCACTGTGAGAACCAACACTGCAGCATTACTGTGAGAATGACTGCTGCATTATTCCTGTGAGGATACTGTAGCATCACTATGAGAATTAATGCTGTAGTTTTACTGTAAGAATTAATGCTGTAGTATTACTGTAAGAATTAATGCTGTAGTTTTACTGTAAGAATTAATGCTGTAGTATTACTGTGAGAATTAATGCTGTAGTATTACTGTGAGAATTAATGCTGTAGTATTAATTAACAAATACCATGCAGGCTTCACTGGTGGTTTCCCCAAATCCCACCCATTTTCCCACTCTAGGAAGAACTCCAGAGGGTAAAGGGTCACCCCTTGAAGGGCCTTACCAACTCACGGCGGGGCAAGCCATATCTCAGATCAGCGACAAAACGTTCGCTATTTTCACGAAGAATTGAGTAAGTCTTCTGGTTACCAATCACCTCCGTGGCAGAAGTGATGATCTCATGCACAGCCCGGGGTCTGTACACATGGTCCAAGTGGTTGTTGACCTTGTAGGGACAGCCGGCAGCCGCCTTCTGCAGAGGTTCTTTTGTGACCTCAGCCCTGCCACTCAGAAACATAGACATGTTGGAGGAGCCAGTACTGCGCGATTCACCTGGAACCACAGAGCGAATCACAGGCAGGTGAGATAGGGAGACAATGGCAGGAGACAAAAGGCACAAACCCTACCAGTTATGGCGATTTGCGTGGTAACTTTTCCCAGGAAGGATGCGAAGAGTCACATATTCTGTTCTTTTCCTGAGCAAGGTGTCCTGAATTATTTTCACATGTCGTAAATGACATGATTGTCAATGGGTGGGTCACAAGACAATGTCATAGTGTTGTGTGAATGTGACCCATGGCCTTTTACTGAGCATTTGGGTTGATGGAAAGCTGAGCCATGAGAAGCAGTTCTGTTAGGAATATACTGATATACCTGTGCATCTTCATACCCTGGTGTGCTTCAGAATCAGATCTATTTTCATAGATTGTCTAACTTAATTCTCATTGTACCCTTCAAGGAAAATATCATCATCTCCATTTGGCAACCAATATGGGGCCCAAAGGACATTAACAGTCACGTCTGTTAATGCTGTGCTGCGAGAGCTCCTACAACCACAATGTGACACGTCCTCTCTCAAGCTCCGAAGGCCAGGCTCCTGCCCGCACACGGAGCTGAGGCCTAGGGAGGCCTGCACATCGTGTCTCCTGTCCCATGACCTGGCACAGTGCCGGGCACACGGAGAGTCCACAGAAGAGCTCTCAGCTGATGGACTCCCAATTCCATTCTTTTTTTTTTTTAAATATGTCTTTATGATTTCAGAGAGAGGAAGGGAGAGGGAGAGAGAGTTTGAAACATCAACGATGAGAGAATCATCAATTGGCTGCTTCCTGCACACCCCCTATCTGGGATGGAGCCTGCAACCCAGGCATGAGCCCTGCCAGGGAATCAAACCCTGACCTCCTGGTTCATGGGTTGATTGATACTCAACCACTGAGCAACACTGGTGGGGCCCAATTCCATCCTAATAGTGAGTCCTGGTGTGTTTTCTAAGAGGAAGAGTAACTAATGAGCACACTAAGTAAGCACACTACTATCTGTTTCTAATCTCAAGGATGAAGGTTGCACTTGGAATCCATCCTCTTAAGAAAACCTGTCCACACCTCGGAGATCAGATATAAAAAGGACCACATGTCCTCGCAGTCATGCTCTTTCCTACAAGGCCCCTAACTGTCATCTGGGTAAAATGGGCTTGATTAACTTTTTATACTAAATCCCTATGTCCCTCCAACACCATCCGGACAAATGATGACTTGTGGAAAACACATAAGATGCAGAAGTAGCATTCCCACATTGATGACAATTATTTTTCCCCTGATGAAGACAGAGCATCAAAGGTTACGTTGATTGCTCTGTGGGACATGAGCCAGTTTGCATCTAATGTAGCAGGCTTATTCCAGCCACTTTGGTTTTCTTCATGGACCATGCATCAGTTCCGTTCATTCTCCTGCTAACCGGCTCTTCATCGTCCTTATTTATGCAGTAGATGAACTATAACCAGGTGCTTGCTATGCATTTTCATGAGAATTTTCCCATTGGGTGGGCACTTTGAAAGCTGCTTCTGCTAGGCAGCATCCTATCTAATAAAGAGGCAATATGCAAATTGACCATCACTCCAACACACAAGATGCTTGCCGTCATGTTGACACAAGATGGCTGCCACAACTTGCCGGCAGCGAGGACAGTTGTGGGCC